GTATGCCTGCCTGTTCTAGTTATGTTAGTTCAGCACATTACCACCACCACCCCCCCCAAAAAAAAAGCCTGCAGAGGGACCAGAGAGCACAAAATAAAAATTGTCAGACGTTTCTCACTGATCCCCTTATCTCCCTTTTCTGTTCTGTCTTACTCTTTTGCTTTGTGTGTGTTCCGTAAAACGTAAAACCATGAACGTCTGCTAATCTGTTATCACTTGTCTCATACACACATACACTGTGTTCTGTGCTCAAGTTTCTACCTACATCTTTATTAGTGCTGAAGTAGTCACTTCTTTTCTAACATCCATTTTCCCGTGTATATTGGCTAAACTCCTGTTTCTTCAGTGGAAACTGTACACATTAAAATCCAGCTATTAGAGTGGTTGTAAGGAGACCCTAGTTGGTGCAAACGGTTAAGCGCTTGACTATTAGCCAGGAGTTAGCGGTTGAATCACCCACAGGTGCTTCAGAACACAGGCTTGGTGATCTGCTTCCTAAAGGTCGCAACCTTGAAAAGCCTGTGGAGAGTTCTACTCTGCACACATGGGGATGGGTCACCATGGGTAGGAATCAACTTGATAGCAACTAACAACAGCAACAATCCATATATGAGAGAAATAATATAAAAAAGGAAGAATGCTAAGACACAAGCTTGAAGATTGTGAGGGGCCGACAATTGGTAGTGGGTGGAATGTAAACAAGGACAGAAATTTATTTTTATCATTAAATCCTGTGTCTCCTATGTAACAGTGCTCTGCCAGGTACCATAAAGACTGTAAAATACATAGTCCTTGTCCTTGAAAAGGGAGCCCTGGTTGGGCAGTGGTTAAAGCACTCGGCTGCTAACCAAAAAGTCAGCGGTTCAAACCCACCAGCCACTCCAAGGCAGAAAGATGTAGCAGTCTGCCTCCGTAAAGATTACAGCCTTGGAAACCCTATGGGGCAGTGCTGCTCTGTCCTGTAGGGTCGCTGTGAGTCATAATTGACTCAATGGCAGTGAGTTTGGTTTTGGTTTTTGTCCTTGAAAAACTTACAGGTGATATAACTGACTTGACTGAAGCAAATATTGAGTGATATAAAATACCATATAACCATATAATAGATTATGTGCTGTACGTGTTCGAAGGTGTTCCACCTGGTGTAAGTGGTACAAGGCAGATCTCCAGTGGGGGAGGGAAAAAGGAAGCACCCTTAAAGGTAGTAGAAGGATTTGAGGGGGGCGGGTGGTTGAAGGAAGGTTAGAATTTGTTTAGGTGTAAAAAAGGTTAGGATTGTTGTAGCCCAGGGGAATGACCCTCAAGATGAAGGCGAGTGTATGAAAATATTTCCTATACTCCTGGGAAGGCCAGCCTGAGTGCAATAACTATTTTGTGAACAGTGAAAGATTAAATTGGGTAAGTGGACATTTGGTAAATCGCACGTCTGTGTAGGCCTGTAGTACTATTTCATTAGTGAATGATGTTGGAGAAATTACACTGCATAGTTAAATGCTAATATCTATACATATATAAGGTTTGTTTTTTTTTGTAGTAGAGCTCAGAAAAACTCAAAAAGCCTTGTAATTAGTGCAGCTGAAATTCATTAAATACTAGCTCTGTCATGGCTAAGGAAAGCATTGTTTTGTGTTTCTTATGCTCAACCTTCTTCATCTGGATGTAGGAATTGATACCAAAGTAAAGTTTAGAAAAACATAACTTTTCAATAGGCTTGGAGCGGTATTGGGCTTTGTTTCTACCCTGTTAGATACTGACTTCAAATAGTAGTTTTGTTTGGCATGCAGACTGTCTTAGTCATCCAGTGCTGCTATGACAGAAATACCACAAGTGGATGGTTTTAATGAAGAGAAGTTTATTTCCTCATAGTCAAAATAGGCTAAAAGTCCAAATTCAGGGCGTCAGCGCCAGGGGAAGGCTTCTTCCTCTCTGTCGGCCTTCTTCTCTTCAGTGTTCCCCCGGATTAGGAGCTTCTCTGCGCAGGGACCCCGGTCCAAAGGATGCGCTCTGCTCCCGGCACTGCTTTCTTGATGGTATGAGGCCCCCCTGTCTCTCTGCTCACTTCTGTTATATCTCAAGAGATTGCCTCAGGACACAGTCCAGTCTTGTAGATCTAGTCCTGCCTTACTAACACAACTGCCACCCATCCTCCCTCATTAACATCATAGAGGCAGGTTTCCAACATACAGGAAAATCACACAGTACCAGGAATCATGGCCTAGCCAAACTGATACACACATTTTTGGGGGGACATGATTCAAACCATGACACAGACTCTCTGGAAGTTGGTATTCAGTAGCCTCTGGTAATCATTTTTTATATTACTTAAAGTGAATTAGATTACCGTGTATACGTCATTAGACCAATGTATAAAAGCATGTAAAATACCACTTATAAGAATGTTAAAAAAAATAAATAGGGTAAACTAAAATACTACATATGTTAAGTGTATAAAGTGTGTTGAATTTAGTTATTGAATTATGTACTACATATGAGCACGTTGGAAACTCCGGTGGCGTAGTGGTTAAGAGCTACACCTACTAACCAAAAGTGCGGTAGTTCGAATCCAGCAGGCGCTCCTTGGAAACCATATTGGGCAGTTCTCTGTCCTTTAGGGTTGCTATGAGTCAGAATCAACTCGTCTGCAGTAGGTTTGGTTTTTGGGGGGTTTTTTTAGTATAAGCACCTAAGTAGACTTCAGTTCTTTTCTAAGTTGATTAACCACTGGAACATAATTAACTATTCAACAAATCCATTGTGTTGTCTTACTTTTAATCCTGTATTTAGATTTGTAAAAATCATTATAGATGACTAATAAATTATTTGAGAGCCAGTATTGGGGTAGCTCTTCAGGAATATTCATGGTTTATAGTTTTTAACACTGGGTGCTTGTATTCCGCGAATGACCAGAGAGCAGCGTTAGTGTTGCACGTTTATCCAGTGGAAACTAGGGAGGCGTAGCTGTTTACACCTGCAGAGCATTCATTTTATATCTGTTAGATTAATTATCACTGCCCATAGCCATGAAAAATAGCAACTCTTACATTGCTCTGGTGGACTGCTTAATAAAATAGAATTACTGAGAGCTGATGCTGTGAGAAGCAACTTAAACATAGGCCTTGGTATGGTATATATGATTGTTTATAAATGACCATTTTGAAGGGTTTGTGATTCAGTCATAATAATTAGCTACAGACTGAAATGCACGGTCATCGTGTATTCTAGGACATGTAAGGGGAAGAAATTGCCTCTGTCATTTTTGAGTTCTCCAAATGCAGTTTTATTTTGAATATTTATTTAAGGACTTGTTTGCATTTGTCCAATGCCACAGAGAGTTTCCTTTGAAAAAGAATGAATGTTTTCTGTGAGTTTCTTCTACGGACTAGTATTTGTCAAGAGAGTTGATCGTTTCAATTTCAGAAAATGAGTTGCTGCACAGGTGAGGTAGTATTTGGATCACTTTAAAGTTCATGTCAGTGTTTTGGTTCTTTTAAATTTTTCCTTTCTTTTTTGTTACTTTTTTCTTTTGTTTTTTGTTTTTGTTCTACTTTGTTTTACTTACTTAATTTCACTTCTAGTTTTTATAAGGGTATTTTGGGATCTTCATGGCCTTGCATATTTGGCTGGCCATATTTAGTCTGCGTACTAATTGTTAGTTGGCCCAGCTGAGTCTTACTTTGTGCTCTCAGTTCTTTTAGTCTGGTTTTCTATTTTTGTCCACCTGGTTGTGTTTTAGTTTATGAGAGATTTTTATTCTGATGGGCCGGATTTTAATCCGTGTACTAAATTTTAGTCTGCAGACTAAAAGTAATCCGCGGATTATTTATTTTTGTAGAATATTTAATTCCCCCACTGGAAACTATCCTAAAAGAATGTTAAATTCTCTTAGAATAGCCAAGGGAGTTGACAGCTACTGGTGAGTTCTGCCATTTTTTATTCTCAATACCTAGACATAATAGACCCTACAACCTCCCTTGTATATTTGGCTCCGTTGTGCCTAGGTGTTGGTATATATTACTATCCATATCACCTGTAACTGTGACTGTCCCTTAGTTGTATTGCTAATTGTATATATTTTTGTTTAGCTTTTGGTGGGTGAATTGGTCATATTTGCAGATGGAACTGTGTTGAATTTGTAATGCTGAAAGACATAGGCTCTTTTTTTTCAGTGAGTTATTCCAAAAAGGAAAGAATGTTCTATATATTAATTTTTCCTAAGTAATGGGTGCAAGGGTATGATGGGGCAAAGCCCACAATAGAAAAATAAGTTTATACCCGCACTCCTGAGGTAATATGTCAATTTCTTGAAGAGTCCTAAGGAAATGAGAATGTCAGCAAATAAACATCTTTAGCAGGGAAGTCAATCCAAAATGGAGAATAATCCGCGGTGGCCTAATCTGTTTTTAGCTCACACAAATTGAAAGTATCTGGCTTGAAATCTATAGTGATATAAATTAAATGTATTTATTACTTTCCTCTTGTCACTAATAATTTAGTGAAAAAAATGTTTATACTGTGTCACTGGAACACATTGATAGAGAAAAAGTAGCGTATTGGGAACTCGTATCTTTAAAAGCAGGCTAATATGCCCCCCTCCCAGCCATGTCTATGGTCAATAAACCCAGGTCATAGAGGACCAAACACTTTACTTTGGGAACTTTAATTCTAGATTTCATTTTGATTTTAACTTTTTTTGGTTTTGTATTTTTTTACTAAACGCACTGGCATTGGAACATAAATAACAAATTAAAATGTTTCTTTACTGTGCCTCACCATTGCACGATCAAAACAAAAATTTTTTTTGCATACACTGTGGTGAAATAATTTTTAAAACTTGGATTTGCTACTGTGGAGACTGATGTTTAAAGTTTATAACTGTATAAACATTTTCTATGTCCCCCACACTATGGATTTCTTATAACATTGGATATATTTTTCCTTGCTGGACTATTCTCTTTTGGATTGACTTCCCTGTTTGGATTATTTCACTGCATTATCATCTTTAGGATTCGTCAGGAACAGGACATTTCACCTCAGGAGTGCGGGTATGTACTTAATTTTTTTTCCCCAAAATTTCAGGGCAGGTCTATAAAACTAGGGAAAAACTGTTTTTGAAAGGCTAAACAATTGTTCATTCTTGAAATGTAATAGTAAAAACAGTGTAGGTAGCTGTGATTTCCATTGTCATTTACTTTATAATATAGGTTTTGCTTATGGTATAGATTGTTAGTCTCCTGGGTGATTCATTGACATCTACACTGGAGTGTAGGAATTGTGGGGTTTTTAAATCATTATTCTTTTTTTTTTTTTTTTTTAATCACTATCTCTTCTCTCCACCACGATTACGGACTACCCCAGGGGCCTGATCACAAACCCTGCTTGGGCAGTTCTTCTCTGTCCTGTAGGGTTGCTATGAGTCAGAATTGACTCGATGGCTGTTCTTTTTTTTTTTTTTTTTAAATCATTATTCTTATAAGAATAAATGTTGATGAAGATCCATGGGACCAAAGATTCTGAGTGTTAAAGCAATTTAAATAAGCAAGGAGTAAAGCAGCAGCAGAACCTTCTTTATTAAAAGCCAAGTCTCATTAGTTGTTGGTTTCCTTTTCTTTAGACACGAAGATAATTCAGAAGAACTGTTTTCTAGTTTGGCCTGTAACTTCTGGAAGTTACATGCTACCGCATCTGTATTATGGTTAGAAATCTGAATTCTGGGAGGCACTGGGTTTTGACTCCCCCATAATTTTCCAGTTAAGCTTATCTACAGAGTACTGAACCAAGGCTTTTCTCATCAGGAGTATCTCAGAGGGTTTAAAGTAACAGTGGATGCTTTTTAAAAAAGCAGGTTAAGTCTTGATTTTAATGTAGGCTCTTGGAACAAGTTCTTTTCTTCATTGTTTTTATCTCTTTGACTCCATGAGTTAGGATTCCTTGATAAAATAGGCTAATATATGTCTTAGTACCATACCAACTTGGATGATCACTGGTAGGCAGTAAGACACCAAAAAGATATGGATGACTTCTTTTTAATAAACCGAATAAGCTTACAATACTGGTTTATTTATAGTTTTAACACAAAATGTTCTTTAATATAACATGAAATTTTGTCATTTAAATACACTCACCATGCAGCTACCCTACATTTGAATATTAGCAGGTGGTATTATTTCTACTTTTGATTTTACGTATGTGCCCCAGTATTGGTGCAAAAGCATTTTGGGTTTAGCCTGCCTAGCAAAATGAAATCCATGTATTATCAAATAAATTCAACTGCCCTCAGGAATAAAAATGAGTCAGTAATGCTTAATATTTTTATGAAAATTTTTCTAAGTTTTCCCTCTGATTATTTTCTTTTTGTATTCTGGATTTGATTATGGATCTTGAGCAAGAGGGGAAGATGACCAAGAACAATAGAAGATCCAAAATACTATAGTAACTTTCAGGTTTCCTTGAGTAAGACAAGTCAGAGCTCTCAAAAGAATAAAGATACGGCAGCTTTTAACATCACAGGGGACTTTCTGACATAGCCAGTATATTGACTAAGGCCTTCAAGATTCTGAAAAACTCCTAAGATCCTACTCAATCCAGCTTCTCAATTTCCATGGAAAGTACCTTTATCAGTACTAACCTTTGTATAAAAACAAAAGCAACAGTGCTGTTTTCACCATAGAAAAGACTCTTATAAATAATCTCTTGAAAATCTAATGAGGTCTGACTTTAAGTACTGCTCCTACTTTCAGCCTAAGTGAACAGCCAGCTGTTACATGAGTCATTCTCATTAGGAAACCTTACCCTCCAGGCTCCTCTCTGCCCTGTCACAATCCAAGTGTCTGTTCCTCACTTGTGGATCTGCTTCCCTTCAGTTATACATGTCTGCTTCTCTTTATATGTCTGTCCACCTCCATTCTCCTCCCCTTTAATTTGGTTGTACATTCTTTTTATCAAGGGGTATATGTTTCTGTTTTTCTTTAGTCTAAAAGATTTTCTGTCCGTCTATTTGTGTTTATTTCTGTTTTTTCCTCTTCTATTTGTATGCTTTAACTGGCCATATAATTTAGAATGAGGTATATTTTCATAGTTTTATGTATTGATTAGAAGTTTGAATTTAAGATATAGATGAATAGAGAGCTTTCTCTTCCTTTAAACGAATAATCACATTTTACTTCAGTTGACTTTTTCTGTAGGTTAATGGTACTTAATGAAGAGTACATCCCTGATTAAAACCTAAAGTAGTCATTCAACTGATAGTAATTTGGCCACATTCATGATAACAGCTACTTTAGAAGACAATGTCGAGATATTCTGTCAGATTCTTAGTTTTCAAGGACTTCTCCAAATAATGATAGGCTCTGTTTATTGAGATAATACCAAATCATTAACATTCATAGGCCTAAACAACTTGTTTTTAAAGATTAATTTCCAAATTTGAACAGTGCTACTATCCATTATCAACAATTATTCTGTGAAAAGTCATGCACAAGAGGCAACCTTCTGTCTACTGCCCCAGCAGTCAAAACTTTAAAAAAAAAGTATTCTAGTTGTGCTCTCCTCCAGAACCCAGCCTTTCTCACAGGCCTGTCATTCTTCTGTGTGCATGTCTGACTGTGCTGCTTTATGATGAGCGTAATTTAGAGTTTTGCCATTTCCCCCAGTTTTTTTCTCTCTGCTTTGCTCATATAGTCTTAACTAACAGTTCACCCCAGTGTGGTGAATCACACGCAGTTAACTTTTTTGGTTCTAGAAGGCTCCTTTGCAACCATGTTTTTGCACATGGTGGGAATTGACTCAGTACTCAGAGAGTTATTTGCTTAGATTTTTGTAATAAAACACTAACTGTTCTTTCCCCTTTTTTTTTGTACTGCAGGTCTTCCGACCCCGGACTCCACCGGAGGCAATTGCACTGTGTAGCCGTCTGCTGGAGTATACACCAACCGCCCGATTGACGCCACTGGAAGCTTGCGCACATTCATTTTTTGATGAATTACGGGACCCAAATGTCAAACTACCAAATGGGCGAGACACACCTGCACTCTTCAACTTCACCACTCAAGGTAATTACAAACTCTTATTTTTTTTTTACTGTTTCTAGGAAGCTACTACACACTGGGCGTGAAATGACCCACTTAATTAAAATCTGTGGAGGACAAAAATGGGCATATTAAGTACTTATACAGATAGGAAGCATCCTTCCTAATGACTTATTAGGCCATTAATTATATGATTTTGAACACAATAGTGGTAGGTAAAAATTTTCAAATAGGCACAGCTTCTCTAATTTTTAGCAGATTTACAGTAATTCTTGGCGCGTGAGAAGAAGTTATAGAAATTTCACTGAGTGAAGTTTATCGCTAATAGGACTAATACACAATTTTGCCTTTAGGTTTGTATCTGAAACTATTAGCATTTCTTGCTTCCCAAGGATTTATATCAAGTATTTTAAACCTGGAAATGTACTGATGGCTATATTTGTGTGAATTCAGATATCTAACGTACAAAGGAAGAACTGAGTTCTATATACCTTCTCTGAGGACTTCAGCAAGGGATGTAGACAAATTCTGTACCCTCTGGGGCTTTGCACCATTGCTGCTGGTGAGAAAACACTGAAGGAGAAACTGAGTTTGTGCATGGGTGGTTTCTGAAAGACCCAGGCATGATTACTATTTCTTCACCCTTTTTCTGTGTTCACTTTTTCTTTTGCCTAAATTAAGACCCTAAGTGATTCATTCAGTCAACCACACTGCCTCTGATGATGTAATTTTCTTCTTAAACTAAGCATAAAAAGTTCACAATTCTTTGCATGTAAAATAAGCAATAAATAGTTGATTGATTAATAGACCAATTAGTAAGCTTAATCAGGCTAGAGAATATAGAAGGGAAATGCAGAGCTTTCTGTAACCAGGAAATAGATGTATTTTCTTTGTACTGAGAAGCAGAGTTTTTCCCATATTTACATTTTTCTAAAATTGAATGTAGAACATTGCATTGTTCAAGTATTAAATGTGGAAGACCTCAGTTGATAGTAAAATAGACTTGGATGGTTTGGTTGACTATAAACACATAAATCAATGTAACGTAACTACGAACAATGCTGATGCAGTCTTAAACTATGTTAATAAAAGAAGACTGTTTAGATATGCTGAGACTCTTAATTCTGGCTACTTAGGGTTTATCAGAAACCATTTGGAATGTTGTTGAAGGTCCTGGCTACCCAATTTTAAGAAGATAAGAAGAATATTAATGAATTGGAGGGGGGTAGGGTATACAGAGGAGCAGAATTGAACATAGAGTCTGGAGACAGGAAGACATAAGGGACTCCTGATAGCTCTAAAAATACCTCAAGGACTGACTTATAAAGAAAGGAGTAGACGTATTCTCTTTCTCCAGGTTGTACAATTGAAAATAGTGGAAAAAATTAGAGAGCTGTACACATTTGGACCCCAGTCCTTGACATAAATAAGGACTGAATAAAGTTATTGATGTATCAGTGAAGAAGGTTTTAGTTCCCTAACAGTGGAATAAATGGTTTTCTCTGATACCTGGAAGTATTCAGAAAAAAGGCTGGATGATGTAAGATATTGCAGATAGGATTACTTCAGTTTGGTAGAAGGTTAAATGCCAGAATAATTTCTTTTAGCATTCAGAATGATCACTTTCAGTATTTTATGTTGTAACTCTTTTCAGTCTTTTTTTTTTTTTTAACACATCTACTGATAATCCTTAAATATAACCTGATCCTCTATTTTTCCATTAAGAAGATGCCGAAAGGGTTTTTTTTGTTTTTGTTAACTTAAATATATTTGAAATTATATATTAATGTAAGATTATATATTGTTTTAGGAATTTTTCTTTTTTACGTCTGAAATTTGATAAAACAATTTCATTCAAACTCTTGATATACATCTTTTCCATCTGTGTTTTCGTCATCAGTAGAGCTACGTTTTGAACCGTCTATCATAGTTTTTAGGTTACATCATCTAAATTTTTATGAAGCACTTTTTACGTCTGTATGAGTCCACCATTGGAATTTCTACAAATACCCATTTACATAACACCATAACAATTTTTTTCTTTTTTACCATGTTGTTGTTAAGTGCTATTGAGTTGTTTCTTACTCATAGTAAACCCATGTGACAGAGGAGAACGGCCCCATAGGGTTTTCTTGGCTCTAATAGAGGAGCCCTGGTGGCACAGTGGTTAAGAGCTTGGCTGTTAACCATAAGGTCGGCAGTTGAAATCCACCAGCCGCTTCTTAGAAACCCTATGGGGCAGTTCTACTCTGTCCTATAGGGTTGCTATGAGTTGCTGTCCTATAGGGTCACTTTGAGTCGGAATCGACTCGATGGCAATGGGTTTGGTTTTGATTAATCTTTATAGTAGCAGATCATCAGGTCTTTTCTCCTGCAGAGCCACTAGGTGGATTTAAACCACCAGCCTTTCAGTTAGCAGCCAAGGACTTAACCAGTTGTGTCACCATGTATATATTTATTATCTGAACAAAATGACTGTTTACTGTATTGCTTTTTAAAGTGATCTATAAAAGGTTTATATACAGTGACATCTGGCATTTGCACCTCTGGAGTCTTACCCACAGGAACTACTAAGTTAATGTTAAATTTCTTTGCCTCCTTTTTACTACTTCTGTCAGGTGATCTTAAAGTTTCCCAAACCAGCATTGATTGAGGTTTTTTACACACTAATGCATCTTCTCCAAAGAGTATTTTGTTGCCCAGAATAAAGTAATCAAGAAAGCCCCTTGTCAGGTGAGCAACTTGGTGAAAACTCAGAATAATTCTCTTTATATTCAGGCACATTTGGTAACTGCTCTTCAATGTGTGTGTGTGTGTGTGTGTGTGTGTGTATGTGTTAATTACAAAAATATACTACTTAAACCTTTTAATTTGATCAGATTAAAACCCAGGGTATAATTTCACTGTTCACATGTACCATTTTTTGAAGTGATTACATTTGATTCTTCAGTCACTGGCTAAAAATTTTTATTATTGCTGAAGAAAATAAAATTTAAAAACAATTGTAATTATGTGTGAGTCTATGAATCATTAAGCTTTATTTTTTTAAGTCAGGCAAAATTCACCTAACCAAAAAAAGAACAATCGGTAGCATTTAGTACATTTACAGTGTTGCACAACCGCCACCTTTATCAAGTTCCAAAACATTTTCGTCACCTTAAAAGAGAACCGTATACCTATTAAATACACACACCCCATCCCCCTTCCTTTCAGCCGTTGGCAGCTACCAGTCTGCTTTTCTGCCTCTCTGACTTTACCTGTTCTGGCCCTTTCATTCATGTAAATGGGACCATACATTACATGACATTTTATGTCTGGCTTCTTTCACTTAGCGTAATGTTTTCATCCATGTTGTAACATGTATCAGTACTTCATTCCTTTTTCTTTCTTTCTTTTTTTTTTTTTTTTGCTGATTAATCCATTATATAGGTATACCAGATTTTGCTTATCCTTTCATCTGTTAATGGATACTTGGGTGGTTTCCACCTTTTGGCTATTTTGAATAGTACTGCTATGAATACATGGACAAGTATCTGTTTGAGTCCTTGTTTTCAGTTCTTTCAGGTATATGCCTAGTGTCTTAGTCATCTAGTGTTGCTGTAACAGAAATACCACAAGCAGATGGCTTTAACAAAGAGAAATTGATTCTCTCAAAGTCTAGGAGGCTAGAAGTCTAAATTCAGGGTGCCATTTCCAGGGGAAGGCTTTCTCTCTGTGTCGGCTTTTGGGGGAACATCCTTGTCATCAATCTTCCCCTAGTCTAGGAGCTTCTCAGCGCAGGGACCTCGGGTCCAAAGGACGTGCTATTCTCCTGGCTCTTGTTTCTTGGTGGTATGAGGTCCCCTGTCTCTCTGCTTGCTTCTCTCTTTTATATCTCAAAAGAGATTGACTTAAGATACACCCTAATCTTGTAGATTGAGTCCTGCCTCATTAACATAACTGCCTCTAATCCTACCTCATTCACATCATAGAGGTAGGATTTATGACACATAGGAAAATCACATCAGATGACAAAATGGTGGACAATCACACAGTACTGAGAATCGTGGCCTAGCCAAGTTGACACATATTTTGGGGGGACACAATTCAATTCATGACATTCTACCCTTTAGTCCCCAAAAATTCATGTCATTCCCACATATAAAGCACATTCACTCCATCATGTCATAGCAAAAGTCTTAAATCAACTCCAAGTCCAAAATCCAAAAATTCCTCTTCATCTGTGAAATCTAGAATACAAGTTATCTGCTTTCAAAGTACAGTGGTGGAACAGCCACATGCTCGTAGTCCATCTGAGTGGCAACTCCACCCTTTGAGACCCCAGAGGTCGTGGCCTACCCTTTGAGACTGAGGCAGCTCTGCTTCCTGTGTTCCTTGTCTCTTCAACTTCTTCCTGGTACCTTGACCTCAGCCCCTTGAGCCTTGCCGCCCACATCTGCCCTGCTAGGGCAAGCGTTCCAAAGCTCTTTAGCACCATGATGAGTGCTTGGAGATGCCCCACTCCACCAGTAAACTTCAGCTGGAAGACACTTAGCTCTCTCACTCCATGAGTCTGCTCCAGTCTTGCGCTGGTCCCCTGGTTCTGCTGCTGCTTCTTGCCGTCTGCACCGCCTCCAGTGTAACAGCTCTCCTCATTTCCTTCTGAGTCCTCTGTGGAATTGTCTTTGATGTCCATGATTTCACCAACAGTCTCTTCAAGGCAATCTAGGCTTTTACTATTAGGCGCTTGAAACTCTCCCATACTCTATCCATTCACAGTTTCAAAACTGCTTCCACATCTTAGTTATCCGTTAGATCAACACCCCACTCTCGGTACCAAATTCTGTCTTAGTTATCTAGTGCCGCTACAACAGAAATACCACAAGTGGTTGGCTTTAACAAACAGAAACCCATTCTCTCACAGTCCAGGAGGCTAGAAGTCCAAATTCAAGGTGCCAGCTCCCAGAAAAGGCTTTCTCTGTCAGCTCTGGGGAAAGGTCCTTGTCATCAGTCTTCTCCTGGTCTAGGAGCTTCTCAGGCACAGG